TCTAGACACATGTAGGTCAGTGACACTTCGTCTGTGCACTGTCTAGACACGTGTAGGTCAGTGACACTTCGTCTGTGCACTGTTTAGACACTTGTAGATCAGTGACACTTTGTCTGTGCTCTGTCTAGACACGTGTAGGTCAGTGACACTGCGTCTGTGCATTGTCTAGACTCATGTAGGTCAGTGACACTGCGTCTGTGCTCTGTCTAGACACGTGTAGGTCAGTGACACTGCGTCTGTGCTCTGTCTAGACACTTGTAGGTCAGTGACACTGCGTCTGTGCTCTGTCTAGACACGTGTAGGTCAGTGACACTTCGTCTGTGCTCTGTCGAGACACGTGTAGGTCAGTGACACTTCGTCTGTGCTCTGTCTAGACACGTGTAGGTCAGTGACACTTTGTCTGTGCACTGTCTAGACTCATGTAGGTCAGTGACACTGCGTCTGTGCACTGTCTAGACACATGTAGATCAGTAACACTTCGTCTGTCCACTCCAGTTGCCTGGGTGAAATGTGGGCAATGTTTTACCCAATCCTGGCCAGCTGGGCCAAACATTTATTCAACTAAACTCAAGGTGCTACCGGCCACATAATGAGTGTTTACACGTGGAAGGAAACGAGAGCACCCAGAGAAGCCACGCCTGCCAGGGGGGAAATGCTATCCCGTACAGATGGAACAGATGGAGTCTCCATTTTGTGCGGCGATCCATCAACCCTCGCCTCCAGTGCTGGATTACAGGCCACGTCCAGAGCCGCCACCACCACGGCTCCTCTACCCACCAGAGTGGTACTGCTATGATGATGACAAGCTATCCAATACATCCACGTTGATATGGTGATGATAAACATCTTTCTCGGCACCCATAATAGTATGACGATGCACGTGACGATGGGAATTGACATGTCACGAGCTGATGTAAGAAGCAAGCGTTCCACACTCCATCACGACAGTGATTGTGATAAAAGCACGCAACAAGCAGTACGACGATTCCAGTACAGCTTCTGAAACATTCCGCCATGCAGCTGCCGCCTGTCAATAGGGGGTCTCGAGCGAGAAGACTGCGCTCCTGAGGAGCAAGAGGAGCAGCCTAACGACACGAACATCTCGCGGTGCTGTCCGCTCTCTTGGCCAGGTCGCATCCTCCTAAAAATAACAAACTTTCGTTTTGAAGAGGGGGGTTTTTGTTGTTGATGTAGGTACATTGCTTGTAATGCAGCACTGGCGAAGTCCACTTTGCTATCGGTATTGCAATAAAACCATCTCTCATCGCGCTGTATCCACAAAACGATGCCGATAAAACACGAGGCTTCCTTCAGTGTGTCAACAGCCGACAACATCCTTTAGTATGTCAAAAGGATGACTGATGGTAACGATGCGACCCATTTCAATATACAGCATCACCAACATGACATAGTAGTAGATGGTTACCAAAGTTATGTGAATGTCTCTCGCGGACCACCGGGGCGAGCAGGAAGGTTGCCCGTCGCAGCCTCGCCGCCGCTGCCATCAACAGTGCCATCAGCCATGATCAATCCACTGCTGGATGAAGGCCTCTACAAGCCGTCACCATCTCTCACGGATCCTGCGAAGTTGGGATCCACCCAGCCGATTTCATCATCGTCCCATCTCTCTGATCTCGTTCCATTCCTGGCACCATCGCCCATCGCCCCTTCATCTCGCGACCCGTCCACTCGCTTTGCGTGAGTAGGTGGCTGATGATTCCCACTACACTACGGCGTTCTTATCGGAACCCACCGGGGCAAGGCTCTCACAGTTTACCAAGTTGGCATTAACCTCCGTTCAATTATGCAGCCGTTACAATCTCTACTTGCCTGAATATTGCTGAACACGTCAACAACGGCTCCCATTTACCACTAAGTGGCGCTTGAGCCAAGCTCGGTGCACGTTGAGGCCACGTGAAGTATCCAAGGCTCGCTGCTGGAAAGTCACGGGACAGATCCAAGGGCCATATGTCGACTGCTGTGCCAGGATAGGTGCAGAAGATACCGGGACAGACCCAGGTGCTATAGATTGACTGAGATGACCGGCAGAGACACCACCTGTGCTCCTCACCGTGCAAACTTTCTGCGTTTCGGTCGCCCGGCTCCCCGCTCGTTGTTGTGAGCATCGTTTCTCTGCCCTCCGTTGTTGTTGGAGGGCGACTGCCCTCAACTGCTCAGCAGCGTCCTTCACGAGCCTCCTCCACAGAGACCGATCCCGACACCGCTGACAAGTCCACTCAGCTCCAGGTCCTCCTGTTCTATATCAACCCATCTCTTCTCGAGCCCTCTCTATCCGGTCAAATAGATGCTGCTTGGGCATGTGGTGGCTGCCAGCCGGTGGAGCTCGCTGAAGGAACTGTGTCCAGATCATTTATGAATCTGCGACTTCATCACAATGCAGACTGGTTAAATCCACGATGAATCGTAGGCAGGCCAGCTTAAATGTTTCAAACCGCAGCGCATGTTCATTTAAAGGGCTCCACGTTCGCAAGCACAGAGAATGAAGGGGGCATGTGGAGTGACAGGCCATGCAGCATTCACACAGCGTGACTCGCACAAAGACAAAGATCCACCGTGTAGTCTTAACAGACTGTTGGGGCAAGTGCTGTTAGCGATCACCTACGAAGTCCGACACAAGGGGGTGGGTGGCCAGCAGCACGCCCGGCCGCATTTATCTCCCCGATGCTGATGTTTTCTGCACCGTACCAGATACTCATTTTTTATGTCAACATCCTCAGGCACGCGCGCGGCGGCATTCCACAGGCAAGAGCGAAGTTCCGTGTCCGCCCAGGGCCGAGCCAGCTGGCCTGGGGTCACGGGACTCGCCTCCATGGCTCCCTTCTTCTCTCCTCCTCCTCCTCCCACTTCCTCGTGTTGCCTCGGCAGCAGCAGCAGCAGCAAATGGGTTAGGGGTCAGTCAGAGATAGGGTTGGGTAGGAGCATAAATCAGGTGAAGTTTATGGTTAGGATCAGGGTAGGGGGTTGGGATTAGGGTCGACTTTAGTTTTAGGATCAAGGTTATGATCATGTATCAGGGTAGGGTTATTATCAGGGTCAGGGATAGGGCGAGGGTAAAGGTTCTGGTCAGGTTGAGGAGGTTCGGCTCGCCCACCTTGTCCACTGGAGAGACCAAACCCTCACGCGTGCACGTTCCCCAGGCAACGCGCGGCCTCTCATCACAGCTGTGCCTCAGCCTCCTGCAGCAGTACAGCAGGAGCAGCAGGAGCAGCAGTACAGCAATACAGCAGACCAACACAGCAAGAGCTCACGACGAACCAACTCCTGATGCCACGGAATCGCAATCGCGATGCCGGTTACCGGACTCGTCCTGCTCAGACCTGGACAGGTGGCAATCCGAATTGAGGTCAAGGGTCAGCGTGAGGGGTCAGGTTTGTCGTCTTTCCCCCGCACCTCGGATTAGCACGGTTGGTTATGTACGGTGCGAAAGAAGTTCAACATACGTGAGAATATGAATCGGGGTCACGCAGAGCCAGGCAGAGAAGACTCCATGCAATGACTCAAGCCTCGGCATGTGCTTGTTTTATTAACGACACTCGATTTAATAAGGGAACGAAAACTCAACCATCAACCAGTGCCACCAACTACTGCCACGGACTCTCAAGATCGCCAACACCGCCGCTGTCATCAACCTCAGGCGCCCCCAGCTCCGCGCTCTCTGGCGTCCGAGCCGGGGCGCTCCCTCTCGGGGGGCCTCGTCGCATCAGCTCCAGCAGCTGCCGCTTGCCGTCTCGTCCCAGCTCCCAGCTTCGAGGTTACCAGGTGCCGAGTCCCATTTACAAGTCTCAAGGTTCCAGATGCCGAGTTAACAGTCTAAAGGTTTCAGATGCAGAGTTGCAATTCTCAGTCCGACTCGCAGATCCTCATCAGGGGCTCCATGTCTCAGTCGCAGGTTCCAAGGCCCAATATTTGGGTTCCAGCTCCCGGGTCTGCCGAGGTACTTCCGAACTCTCACTCCCAGATCTCCTCGCGCCAGTTCTATAACCCCGGCTCACAATCCCAGCTTTAAAGTCTCAGTCTGAGGTAACAAGTCTCAAGAGTAAGTTCCAATCATACCCCCTTAATGCCAGGCGCCAATGTCTCTCTCTTTGTTACAGGTTCCAATGCTCAGGATGTCTGAAGATGTCCTTGATCAAGACATTGAGGTGGCACCTCGAGATTCTTGCTGCATGGCTGGAGCGGCATGAATATCCAATGCTGATTCGTGTCCCCTTCTGATTGGATGCTCTGTGAGGATTCCAGAGAAATCCGGAATGACTACCGATGGACCACCACGTGTCCAGATCATTATCGTCATTATCAATCCTCATCAATGAATAAAACAACCGCCGATCAACAATACCACCACCACCACCACTGGCGCACCCACCACCAAAACCAGCTCAGCACCGCCGTCAATGCCGCCACCACAGAGACCGGTCGTGGACCTCACACGCGACGCCATGGCGCCCTCTGCCGACCACAACTCGCCTCTCGGTCCAGGTCTTCTCGTGCCTCTTCCAGGGCCCGGGTTCCAGAGCCCAGACTTCAAAGGCTCAGTCGGAGGTCACAGGTTCGAGGTCCCAAGTTTCAAGTTCCAATTACAAGTTCCAGGTCTCAAGTTCTGAGTTCCAGGTTTCCAGTGTGCGTGAGACCCTTCTCGACACAGCGGCTTCTCGTCTCCGCGTGTCCCGGTGCTCGTGATTATCCCAGTGGCGGGCCACCTCCCGTTCCTCACCAGCTTCTAGCGCCATTCTCACGAGTTCTTCACGGACGCTTCATCTCTTGACCTGATGCCGGTAGTGCTCTGTCATCGAGGGAGAATGTGATCCCCTGAGTTCAGCTCCTTAAGAAGCCCCCAGCACGTGGAGCGAAACATCGGACATCGTTTTCGAACAACAACGCGTAGCGGCGCGACCTGAAAGTACGACGGACTCGGCAGCTCGCGAATAGCCGCACGGCCATAACGTCAGAGCTGGCTTGGAATATGGATTACTGGCGTAAGGCACTACCACTAGAGTCATAATAATGATACTTTACATTTGTAAGGCGCATTTCATCCGTATATCCCAATGCTCTATTGCTCCATTGGGATCTAGAGTACACGGAATACCAAGGCACAATAATCTTATATCATTGTGCCCGATACTCCATGATCAGAGCTGAGTTTATCGTAACCCTATAAGCAGGTTTAGGACAAATTAAGGGGAGATGGATGCGACGTGGCCAAAATTATTCCTGGAGCAGCGTTCCAGACTGGTCCGACTGAATTCTAATCACTGTGCATTTACAATCACGACCGATCTTACAATAAAAAACACAACAGAGACTTTGCGATGAACACAGAAACGGGGAGTCGTGTCACTCGCCGCAGTGCCTGGGCGCAGGGGGGGGGGGGGCGCGGGCAGCAGATGACCACGAGTTCGAAAACCCCACGACACTAGACTCCCGGGGAGTGTAGGTTCGATCCCAGGTCCGGGCTACGTCTCCTCGCCACTGCCCTCCCCCTGGGGCAGCGAGACGGGGCGCAAGCCCCGGGGCAGCGAGACGGGGCGCAAGCCCCGGGGCAGCGAGACGGGGCGCAGGCCCCGGGGCAGCGTGGCCGGGAAAGGGGGCAGCACCCGCCGCGGCGCTTCTGGGAGTCCGCTCCTCGCGGCGGCAGGGAACCCCGCGTGTCGGCACGGGGAAGGGTTCGGGTCCCGGTCCCGGTCCGGGTCGGGGCCGGGGTCGGGGTCAGGGTCCAGTGAGCGGAGGCGAGCAACCAGGCCGCGGGGCAACGCGGGCAACGGCGGCAAGGCGGCCGGGCCTGACCCGCAGGCCACCGGGCAGCAGCAGTTGTGAGGGGGCAGGCCATACGGGTTGGAAGAGGGCAGCAGGAAAGAGAAGGCGAGCGCCAGGAGAACGTGGTAGGCGCTGTGCACGTACGTGTACTCTATGTCCTGCAGGGGGGCATGGAGGGGGGGGACAGGGTCAGATACGAATCTGTAATCATCTGTAACCACCCGTGCCATTACTCGTGCCACCACCTTCCCCCACTTCCGATTAACAAGTTTGGCTACATACGGTGCGAAAGACGTTCAACATACATACACCACCAACTCTCGTACCAACTTCCACCACCACTGCCAGTGCTATAGACGCGCCACCACCTCCACCACGACCCATAACTACCTCCACTCTAATCACAATCAGTACCATCACCATCACCATCATCTCTCCATATTATTAGTATGGTCACCGTGATCTAGTGGAACATGTCAAAAGTTCCATGCAAGCTCAAGTCCTTGTCTGGTGAAAGTAAATCTCTGAGTCTTACCACCCTTGTCCTACACCATCACTACCGCCACATCCACCCCTACTACCACCAAGTTCACCACCCCCACTCGTCCTTGTCTATCACCTTCATCCCCATCACCACCACGTCCACCACTCACCCTTGTCCACCACCTCCACCCCCACTCATCCTTGTCTATCACCTTCATCCCCACCACCACCACGTCCACCACTCACCGTTGTCCACCGCCGCCACCACCACATCCACCACCTCCACCCCCACTCACCCTTGTCCACCACCTGTACCCCCACCATGTCCCCCACCACGTCCCCTACCTGCACCCCACCATGTCCCCCACCACGTCTCCCACCTGCACCCCACCATGTCCCCCACCATGTCCCCCACCACGTCTCCCACCTGCACCCCACCATGTCCCCCACCATGTCCCCCACCACGTCTCCCACCACGCTCTCCGCCTGTACCCGCACCTGCACGAAGAACCTGAGCGTGAAGGCGAGCCCTGCCGCGCAGCAGCCCGGCCCGATGTGGTGGAGGTAGCTACGCCTCTCCGGGTACAGCCCCTTCACCTGCCGCATCTTGCGGAGCTGAGACAGGGAGGGCGGGGTGGTGCCGGGGGGTGGGGGGGTGCAGGTGGGGGTGTTACGGGGATCGCAGGACCCCCTCTCAACCACCACCATCATCTCCACCACCATAATTTCAACCACCACCATCATCTCAACCACCACCATCATCTCCTCCGCCACCTGCATCTCCACCACCATCATCTCCACCACCACCATCATCTACACCACCACCATGTCAACCACCATCATCACCACCACCATTTCAACCACCACCATCATCTCCACCACCACCATCTCAACCACCACCATCATCTCAACCACCATCATCTCAACCACCAGCATCTCAACCACCACCAGCATCTCAACCACCACCACCATCTCCACCACCACCATCATCTCAACTACCATCATTATCTCAACCACCATTATCATCTCAACCACCATCATCATCTCCACCACCACCAGCCTCTCAACCACCACCATCATCTCCACCACCACCATCTCCACCACCACCACCACCATCTCAACCACCACCACCATCTCAACCACCACCATCTCCACCACGACCATCTCAACCACCACCATCATCTCAACCACTACCATCATCTCCACCACCACCACCACCACCATCATCTCCACCACCATCTCAACCACCACCACCATCATCTCAACCACCACCATCATCTGAACCACCACCATCTCAACCACCACCATCATTGCAACCACCACCATCATCATCTCCACCACCACCATCTCAGCCACCACCATCATCTCCACCACCACCATCTCAACCACCACCATCATCTCAACCACCACCATCATCTCCACCACCACCACCATCATCTCCACCACCACCATTTCAACCACCACCACCATCATCTCAACCACCACCATCATCGCAACCACCACCATCATCATCTCAACCACCACCATCAGCTCCACAACCATCATCTCAACCACCACCACCATCTCAACCACCACCATCATCTCAACCACCACCATCATCTCAATCACCACCATCTCCACCACCACCATCATCTCCACCACCACCACCATCATCTCCACCACCACCATCATCTCCACCACCACCACCATCTCCACCACCACCATCATCTCAACCACCACCATCATCTCCACCACCACCATTTCAACCACCACCACCATCATCTCAACCACCACCATGTCAACCACCACCATCATCTCAACCACCACCATCATCACCACCACCATCATCACCACCACCATCAGCTCCACAACCATCATCTCAACCACCACCACCATCTCAACCACCACCATCATCTCCACCACCACCATCTCCACCACCATCATCTCAACCACCACCACCATCTCAAACACCACCATCATCACCACCATCATCTCCACCACCATCATCTCCACCACCACCATCATCTCCACCACCACCATCATCTCCACCACCATCATCTCCACCACCACCATCATCTCCACCACCATCATCTCCACCACCACCATCATCTCCATCACCATCATCTCCACCACCATCATCTCAACCACCACCATCATCTCCACCAACACCATCATCACCACCACCATCAGCTCCACAACCATCATCTCAACCACCACCATCATCTCAACCACCACCATCATCTCCACCACCACCATCATCTCCACCACCATCATCTCAACCACCACCATCATCACCACCATCATCTCCACCACCATCATCACCACCACCATCATCTCAACCACCACCATCATCTCAACCACCACCATCATCTCAACCACCACCATCATCTCCACCACCATCATCATCTCAACCACCACCATCATCTCAACCACCACCAGCATCTCAACCACCATCATCATCACCGCCACCATCATCTCCACCATCATCTCAACCACCACCATCATCTCCACCACCACCATCATCAGCACCCCCATCATCTCAACCACCACCATCAACTCCACAACCATCAGCTCCACAACCATCATCACCACCATCATCTCCACCACCATCCTCTCAACCACCACCATCTCCACTACCATCATCATCTCCACCACCACCATCATCTCAACCACCACTATCATCTCCACCACCATCATCATCTCCACCACCACCACCATCTCAACCACCACCATCATCTCAACCACCACCACCATCTCAACCTCCACCATCATCTCAACCACCACCATCTCAACCACCACTATCATCTCAACCACCACTATCATCTCAACCACCACGATCATCATTGGAATCTCCTTTGCCAGAAGCAAAATATGATAATTGTTGTTTTACCCTTTTATCTGGCAACAAAACTGACACCTTTTTTTAAAAGGGTAAAGAAACAATTATCATATTTTGCTTCTGGCAAAGGAGGTTCCAATTGTGTAAATGCTTACCCCGAGCTCTCATACTCTGATGGTGCATTGTCTTTGAGTTGTGCGCCTTTTGGCGTCATCTGGTCCAACACCATGTGAGACTAAGCTCTAAGAAAAGCTGTCTCGGGTGTGGACCAATCAATTTCAAGGACAGTGCATACATTATCAGAGTTGTGTTTTTTGTTTGCATTCCGACCGCAAGTATTGTGGTCAATGCAAACATGACTCCTTGTAAAAAAAGGTGTCAGTTTTGTTGCCAAATAAAAGGGTCAAAAAACAATTATCACCACGATCATCTCAACCACCATGACTCGTCCCTCTCTCTGCTAGAGCGAGTGACACCCGTGTCGTGGCGGTGCAGCGTTACACATGACCTCATCATCGTCATTATGATTGCGTTATGACGCTCTGCTGTATGTCTGTATGCTAAACGTGTTTCGCATCGTAGGTAGCCAAGCGTGCTAATCGAAGGTGCGAGGTTGCTGCTGGTGCTGTTGCTGCTGCTGGTGATGATAATGCTCACAAACTTGGTGGCCACGATGAGCACGGCCCCTCCGATGGGCCCCGAGTAGACCCCGTATCCGTAGGGGTCCTGCGCCACGCGGATCGCCGTGGTGAGGGCCCCCAGCATCGCGGCCGTCGAGCGTCGCGGCTCCCCCAGCTCCCCCACGGCTAGGGGTGGGGGGGAGAGGAGGGAGGTGGTGATGCCGAGTAGTATTTGCAGGATACGCACTAGGGGCAGTGCCAGGTGAAGCTAGTGCGGGGCCTGTCGCATGTTGTTATAAAGGGGCCCTAAATAAAAAACACAAATATTAAAACACCAATTTTTAACTTGCACAGTAAAGTAATTGTATTTATATTTATTTCCTATACAGCCAGATAAGACGACAAATCGCTAACCTTAAACATCCAGTCATTCATAAAAGTTGAAGGCAGTAGAGTACTATAGTGATAGAGCAAGAGCACAATCACTGAACCGGAATTGATATCTTGAAAGCATTTAGCGCGGGGCCCTTGAAAGTGCGGGGCCCGTAGCTACTACATGTGTAGCTACTACATGTGTAGCTACTACATGTGCAGCTACTACATGTGCAGCTACTACATGTGCAGCTACTACATGTGCAGCTACTACATGTGCAGCTACTACATGTGCAGCTACTACATGTGCAGCTACTACATGTGTAGCTGCTACATGTGTAGCTGCTACATGTGTAGCTACTACATGTAGTAGCTACTTTTGCTACTCGGATAATCCGGCATTGACCAGGGGTATCGCGTTGGCCGCTTGTTCCAAAAGGTATGCGGTTCTCCCCAGCCCCCCCCTGGTGCCCCCCTCCCCCCGTGCCCCCCTCCCGCCGTGCCCCCCACCCCGTGGCCCCCGTACCCAGGATGGAGAGCCACAGGGAGAGCGCCTCGCTGTAGACGCTGAAGTACAGCAGCAGCTCGGGGCGCAGCGCGCACCACGCGAGGGAGTCGGGCCCGTCGCACGCGTGCCAGCCCTGCACCACCACGACCACCACGCGTCAACCACCACGCGTCAACCACCACGCGGCAACCACCACGCGGCAACCACCAACACACGAGACACGCGGCCACCAGGCGGCAAACGCCACCACGGGAATCACTTTGGCAGCACGACGCGGCCCAGCGGTAGCGCGTTCGCCGCTTGTTGCAGAGGTTCAATGCCAGCGGCGGCCTTGGTAAATACTGCGGGTGGGTTAACCATAAAACACACGACTGCACGCCGTTTTCTTCATGGCGAACGTTAAAGTTCCCGAGACGCTATTCGAAAATGAGTCAGACGCCATCGTGTGCCGGGCAGATTTGTCAGCTCTTCTGCACATAACGAACCTGGCGAGCAGCAACCAGGCGGCGATAACACGTGGCCCTCCTGGCCGACTCCACCCCCGCCCGGGGCGAGGTCGCCGGCGCCTCGCATCGGCGCTCAACTCGAGTCACGAACGCGCTCCCGGGAACCACTTCGGCGTCGCTACCTCAGACTAATAATGTCTGGTTGTAAACCTCTTGATGAGATTGTACTGATACCACCGACACACGTAGGATTATTATGACAAATACGCGAACCTTATACTCTAGTTGTAGTGCCTTTCGCCGATAATCATAACTCCCAAGCCACCCTAGCAGCAGGATTCCGGAATATACCGAGTGGAAAATGAAGCCCCGATTATTATTGTTTTATTCTTAATATCCCCCGACACCTCTCCCAATCCCTCGGGGGTCCCTCAATCCTTCCGGCCCCCCCACTGACCGCGAGGAAGAAGGAGGAGAAGGCGAAGACGAGGCCCTCGCAGTAGAAGCGGCGACGCACGGCGAGAGCCGCGGGGCCCAGCAGCAGCAGGCAGCTGGCGCTGGGCACGGCCAGCCGAGCCACGGCCTCCTCCATGCCCCCACCCCCTCGCCCCCTCCTTAGGCCATCCCCGAGCTCATGGATTAGGGGTCAGAGGCGGGGAGCGCAGCCACTGCGGGAGGTGAGCGAGGTCCTCGCACCCCCAAAACGTCTCCAGGTGGCCTCAGAGAGACCCCCAGAGCAGTGGGGGCGGGCGCGGCACTGCCCAGTCGGCTCCTGCGACGGCGACAGCGCGCAGAACGACTCCTCTAATCCGCGACTCCTCTAATCCGCGACCAGGTGATGGGAGTTGGGGGGGGGGGTATTTTGTAGACCCTATCTGGAATCGAACCGTGCCACCAGCGCTCAGTAGGGTACCGCTTCCCGCTACGACTCCAACTTCCAGAGCTCCGCTGCGTCCTCACGTCGGCGGGAACCCAGCGAAGGTCCCTGTCCGCTGTGATAGCACCCCCTCGACCGGTGCTGACGCTCTCCGAGACTCCGGTTAAATGTCCCGGCAGCGTGCAGCGTAAAGTTTAAATGCCCCCCTGCACCCCGCCTCCCCCCTCACGAGAGACAGCTGTGGCCCCGGCGGCTGTGTTGAGGCCAGGAGACACAGCGAGGCATTGTTGAGAGGGGCTCGGCAAGGGCTTGTGACGAGGGAGGCGGGGGAGGCTCTGGGGGGCCCCGACAGCCCGGCAGGTGCGGCTGGAGCAGCTGCTGCTCGGGCTGGCTGGCTAAATATAGCCTGCGCCTTCTCCCGCGAGTCCTGGACTCGGGAACTCTCCTCTCGTGTTCTCTCTCAGCTCCTCCTGCTCCTCCTCGCTCATCCTCGTCGTCGTCCTCTTGGGGCGGCAGGGCGGTGGCGCAGTGGTGATCACACTCGCGACTCACAACAACAAGGGCCTCGGTTCGATCCCCACTCACGGACACCACCAACACCAGTGACGAATGTCCCGGTCGATTCAGTCTCAAATGAGTACCTGGTGCGGTGTGTAAAACATCAGGACTGGGGAAACAAAGGCGGCCGGGCGTGGTGTTAAGCACCCACCTCCTTGTGTGCCGTGCCAGCCTTCATAGGTGCTACTCGCTGACAGCGCTTAATGTCCGGGGATCTTCGTATTTGTCTCGTGTGTGTGCGAGCTCCCAGGTGCGCATGACTTTACTGACACTGTGCACGAGTTTGGAGAGCGTCTTACTTTCAGGAGCGTCTTAAAATGCGGAGAATGCGGTGTGCCTCGCTCGTGCGAGAGCCATCTCCTCTCATCTCATGGACTCTCCTCCACCGCCTCCTCTATTCTTGACCTCGTATCACCTCTCCTCCGCTCCCCCGCATTCCCCGAGCTCCCCCGTCACCCTCCGCCCGCATCTCTCCATTCTCACCTCCTCCTCCTCGTCTCGCGCGTCTTCTCTTGCTTACTCCCTCGTTTGTCTGCAGCTCTCACTGTCTTCCATGTTTCGTCTCCTCTCCTCCCTGCTGTCCCCCATCCTATCCGCGCTCTCCACATCTCTCACCTCACCTCGTGTAGCTTCCCTTCCTGCGCTCTCTCCCTCACCCTCTCATCCCTCTCCTCCCCCCTCTCATCCCTCTCCTCCCCCATGCTCTCCCCGTCCGGGCTACAGAGGGGACCTCAGTGGTGACCTCATCTGGTGTTTTGACCCGGGACTTTCTTAGGCCCTGTCCCATCAAATCGCTTACTCCCCCCCACCCCTCCCTCCACTTTCTCTCCATCCTGCGCTCGCACCTCCTATCCCCCATCCTGGTCTCCCCTCTTCGCTATCTCGCCACACGACGGCTCTCTTCCCCGTGTCGCCATTCTTTCTCTCCTCATCCCGTCCACCCTCTCTCCCGTCCTTGCCTGACCTCCCTCCAGCGTCCCACTCTGCCTGCTCCTCCTCCCCCCTCTCTGCTGCCCTCTCCTGACCACGCTGCCCCACAAAGCCCTTCTCCCCACTGCTCCCCCCGAATCCTCCCTCTGCTTCCCCAGCAGCTCCGGCTCAGTGTACCGACCACGGCCAGTATGGACCCCTGAGAGAGACACAGCTCCGGGGGCTTGGGCCGAGCATCTCAGCGACGCTGGTTTAATGCCTCCGACACAGCCATTATTAATCTGACACGATCATTACGAACCCTGCGATCCGTGTTCATCTTGAGACGAGATCATCTGGACCGCCAGAATTCTCAACTTCCTCAAAGGCTGTTTTGGGGACCCGGACCGTAGGGGGTAGGGGGGTCCCTGCCGGCACGCGCCCAGGACCCCAGTAAATCCCCTCCGCGTGTCTCGGGCCCGGCAGCAGCTGTCGGTCACGGAGCCACGAGCGGTGACGGCGGCGAAAGGATAAACAGCAGGTGGCGGAGATAGCAGCACCCCGCCCGCTCAGGCACTCATCCACTCATCCACCCGCTCACTCACTCACCCACCCGCTCACTCACTCACTCATGCACTCACCCACCCGCTCACCAACTCATCCACTCGTGCACTCACCCACCCGCTCACTCACTCATGCACTCACCCACCCGCTCACCCACTCATGCACTCACCCACCTGCTCACACACTCACTCATGCACTCACCCATCCGCTCACCAACTCATCCGCTAACCCACCCACCCGATCACCCACTCACCCACTCATGCACTCACACATTTACCCACGCACTCACGCATCCACCCACGCACCGAGTTGAGATGTGAACGTGAGGGTTTATTGACCGATACACTTTAAAACGACAACGGCGACAGTCGTAAACGATGCTGATGATGCTGATAAAAATGAAACCGCCCAGCGAGAAACCCTCGGACCCCACTCGGAATGTTTGCGATGACCCCCCCCTCCCCCTTACCGATCCCTCGATTCCATCCCTCGCTCGTGCGGCGGTGAGCGGTTGTGGTAACAGACAAAGATCCCCCGTGTAGCCTTTAACAGGCTGTTAGGGCAAGTTATGTTAGCGAGCACCTATTAAGGGCGGCACGGCACAAAAGGGGGTGGTGTAGCCAGCACCACGCCCGGCCGCCTTTCTCTCCCCAGTGCTGATTTTACACACCGTACCAGGTACTCATTTCAGGCTGAGTCGACCTAGGGGGTGCCTAGGACCGGTTCAGATATTCGTCACCGGTGTTGGCCGTGAGCGGGAATCAAACTTGGGTCACCGGGCGCGCGAACGATTGTGCCACAGCTCCCCGTAACGCACACAGACACAGGCCGCAAGCACTCACTAACACACGCACACCACGCACTTTCAATTACACACATACCACACACATACCACACATACAGGCACCCTCATACATACACATGCCGCATATTCTTATACACATACCGCAAATACAAATAAAGCCGGACTCATACCACACACACCACACATACACACACGGGTGCAAATACTCACACACTCCATCACACACACTCGAATACACACAGATACACATCACACACCACACACACCCACAGATACACATCACACACCACACAACACACACAGATACACATCACACACCACACACACCCACAGATACACATCACACACCACACACACCCACAGATACACATCACACACCACACACACACACAGATACACACCACACACACAACAATACGATGTACATACTACACTCGACAGTACACATCCCGCAGGACCAGACACAAACACACACATCACTCTCTACCCACACTGTAACCCACCACACCACACACCGAGCAAGCAGCGTTCACCACCGCCTGACGTCGTCTCTCTCCCTCCTCCTGCCGTCCCATCCCGGTGCACGTCCTCAACCTCGCCCCCCGAGAAGACCAGGGGTCCAGGGCCCCCACCCGCGCACCAAATCGTGAATGCCGAGGCCACAAACGGACGGACTGGGCACCCCGGGGGCCCAAGTAGGGCACCGTTTTGGTTGCTGGGAGGCCGTCTGCCCTTGAGGGTGGATCGCACGGAACCGTCGCTCTCAGAGCGTGGGGGGGGGGGACCTAGACGGAGTGGGGGGCTCAGAGCGAAGTGCCCACGAGAGGAGCGGCAGGAGGCGCGGGGAGGGAGGTGGACGGGGCCCGGGACGGGGAGCGTGGGACCGCAGGGTCACTGCACCGTGAACTCTGACCCTCACCACCTCCGCCTCGCCCCCAGCCAGCCACGATCCCCGGGCAGCAGCAGCAGCGGTGGTGGCGGCGTGCGGATGACGGACTCCGTGGGGGGCGCGTGGGGGGCGCGTGGGGGGCGCGTGGGGGGCGCGTGGGGGGCGCGTGGAGTACGCACTTCACGGGCGGTACAGACTCCGCAGGGGGTACAGACTCCGCAAATGGGGGGGGGGGGGGGGGTGGGGGAAGGCGCTACCTTCACCGCGTGCGATCCGTGACAGTGACTGGCCACATCACCCTTTGCACTGCATGGACACGTGACTGGTAACTGCTCAGCCTCTCACGGTTCACTACAAACCCCCCCTCCCCCCCGAAATTATATTTGGTGAAGCGTCACAACACAGCCCGTTTTGATATCCCCTTTGTATTGTGTCTCTCTTTTAGGGGTTTTGCTCATTCGGTTTTATCCGTCCCACCCCCCTCCCCATTACCAGAAACGTAACATAGGCGGTCGACCCGCGTGCGATTCACGTGGCTAACGATTGATTGATTGATTGATTTTTGCACGCAAGGTTGAATTGAGCGGTCATGTCGCCACGTGGCCCGAGATGAACGCTCACGCACACAGACACACAGACACACGGACATACGGACGGACACACACACGGGGGGTGGTCGGGAGGGGTGGGGAGGGGCAGCGGTCGGTGCGGCCGGTGCAGGTCGGCGTGCCGGGGGTCGGGCGGTGCAGCACGGCGGAGGCGGTCACCACTTCTTCTTCTCGTCGACGGAGACGCCCCCGGGGCCGAGCGCCACGACGAGCAGCAGGCCTCCGGTGACGGACAGCGTCTGGAAGAAGTCGTACTTGAGGAAGTCGTGCAGGGGCTTGTGGGCCGCCACGGCCCAGAACGCGTTCAGGTAGACGTTGAGCGCCGAGAGCCACAGCACCAGCGTGAGCGCCGCCAGCTTCGTCTTGTAGCCCACGGCCACCAGCAACATGAGGGCCGTGCCCACCACGTCCTGCACCACCTGGCGGCCACACGCACGGCGGCAGGCAAAGATCCCCCGTGTAGCCTCGGACGGTCGGGGCAAGTGCTGTTAGCGAGGAACACCTATTAAGCCCCCGTCACCCCCACCTCCACCTTAGGGATCCCCTCAGCCCTTGAGCCCCCCCCACCAGCCCCCTGTGACTTCATTAGGGCCCCACCCCCCAGGGCCCCACCCCACCCATATCATCCCCTCTCTCTATCAGCCCCCCAAAGTCCCCTCTCTCCATAAGCCTCCCATAGTATTTGGCTGGTATACATTTCCAAATGAAAAAGCGCTATATAGCTCGGTGAGCCTTAGCTGGAAAATAAAAATAGTTTAATGTAATAGATCCATCCCTCCGTAACCCCACCTCCGCTAGAGTCCCCCTGCATCCCG